TCACATGACAAGCTACTATGGGAATGAGTGATAGGAGTCACTAAGGAAAACCTAAGTCTACTTTTCTGAATGGTCTTACTTCTATGCCTTACCTGCCCGACAGAGACTACTAGGGTGTCTTATGCTATCTCTAGTAAGGGACTCGATAGATTGAATATGCCTTGGCAAAACCAGTTGGCTTCAGCCCCTACAGTGATCCTAATGGTCCAGATAACAAGATATGTCTCGGCAATACCTTTTTGCGACAACATTAACATCTAACCTATCATTCATGCACAACTCCTTTTAGTCGAATGAAATCCTAGCCTTATCTCTAAGGTGGATTAGGCCTAGTTACTATCTAAAAACCCTTGCCTATGTGGTTCCTCCTTAGTTTCTCTCGAACACTAAGGATGTGCTACCTAGATATTCTCTCAAACCCTAAATAATCTCCTAAGGAGTGGCTACTCTATAGCTCCTACAACCGTAAGGCACTAAGCTTCATAAACAAAACAGATTATAGCATAGAAAAACAACCATTCATTAAAGTAAAACATAAATATCCAAAATGAACAAGTTAATATGTTCCTTATAACCCAAATGATAAAATATGAAAGCAAAGAGAAAAGGGAATGAGGAAAAGCCTTCGATGTGCAATGTCGGAGCTTCCCTCATCCACCACAAACTGCCCCCAGCGAACTAGCTCCTCTCGGACGCCTAGAACGCCACTCCCTCTGGCTTGTCAATTGATAAATGCCACATAAAATAGGATTGATAGAGAAAGGATAGACCTTTTCCCTAAGACTTTTAAGCTCCAAATGGCGTGGAATCAAAATTTCTACCATTGTGGCTTCATCCTCTATTTATAGGGGAAGATTTACCCTAGGACTTGGTGTTGAAATTTCTAGAATACCCTAAACAATACTTAATTCACATGAGGATCGGGTAGATCTGGCAGTGGTCCAGTTGGGCAGCTGCCATTGATCCAGCCTGGGTGGCTGGCTGAGTACTAGACATGATCTCGTCGCAGAAGCTCAAGGATAGACAGGATCAGCAGCAGGGTGGCATGGTTTAGCAAGATCGACTGTAGCAGCGCTGATCCCCTCCAGGCAGATCCTCGAGGTGGATTTCTCGCTCACGGTCAGAGGTCACATGAAAGTAGGGACAGCTGGCTTCACAAATATCTTCTTTCATTTTGTTTGCTCTCGAAATGCCAATTCAACTCGGCATTTTCATTCTACTCAGTAGTCTCCTTATGTCACGGCATTTACCTTTTGCTTTTCCTTTCTCTCAAATTCTGCACATGCAATTATATGCTCTTAAATGCATCTATATGGTCCTAAATGGGCTCTTAGACATTCAATAACTTAGTGAAAAGGTCATAAATATGACTTTTTTAAGGAGTTATCAGGGTACTAGGGTAATTTTAACATAAAACCTTAAATTCATTCTTCCCCTATAAATAGGAGATGAAACCACAATGAAAAACGACTTTACACACGCTGCCAAGAGCCAAACATTTGGAGAGAAAGTTCTCCACCAATCCAATTTGCCGTGGAATTCCTCTATTGACAAGCTAGAGGGAGTAGCTTTCTAGGCGTCCGAGAAGAGCTAGTTCACTAGGACAGTATGTGGTAGTCAAGAGAAGCTCCGACAGTGCACGTCGAAGGCTTTACCTCCTTCCCTTTGCTCTTTGCTTTCATTATTTATCATTTGGGTTGTAAGGAACGGATTAACTTGCTTTTTGCTTGCTTATTTCGAACCCCACCATGAACTAATCCTATTTGGTGGGAGGTCATTATTGATATTTAAGATTTGCTTTAATGAATGGTTGTTTTTCTATGTTATTATCTGTTTTGTTTATGGATCTTAGTGCCTTAAGGTTGTAGGAGCTATGAGAGTAGCCATTCCTTAGGATATTAGTTAGTGTTCGAGAGAGTGTCAAGGTAGCACATCCTTAGTGTTCGAGGGAAACTAGGGATGAACCACATAAGTAAGGGGTTCAAGATAGTAATTAGGCCTAATCCACCTTAGAGATAAAGCTAGGATTTCATTCAACTAAAAGGAGTTGTGCATGAACGATAGGTTAGATGTTAATGATGTCGTAAAAAGGTATTGCCGAGACATATCCTGTTATCTAGACTAATAGGATCATTGCAGGGGCTAACGCCAATCAGTTTTTCCAAGGCATCTTCAATCTGTCGAGTCCCTTAACTAGAGATAGCATAGGGCACCCTTAGTAGACTCTGTAGGGTAGGTAAGATATAGAAGTAAGACTATTCTGAGAAATAGACTTAGATTTTTCCTAAGTGACTCCTATCACTCATTCCCATAGTAGCTTGTTGTGTGAGGAAAGTTAAAGTCCTAGTAATCAAATCCTATATTTACATTTTATTTTGCCTTGACATTTCCATTTGTTTACACTCAATACAATTTAATTTGCCAAGACATTTCCATCCAATTTGCCACGACATATCCATTTGCTACCATATTACCATCATTCCATTTCCACAACATCCATTTCATTTTGCTGCAACATTCTCATTTGTATATATCATCACTAACTTTACTTAGGTGACAGAGTAAAATGTTTTGATTTAACTTATCGATTTCCTACAATCCCTGTGGAGACGATACTCACTTATCATTGTATTACTTGTTTGATTGTGTATACTTGCACATATTTCCGCACCCATATATAGTACTCACAACAAGTCGGACATGTACAACTCTTCATCTTCATCATTGTAAAAGAGTTGAGTGAAGAAAAAAGAACTGAATAACATAGAAATCAAGCTTGAAAAGAAATCTATTAAGGCCATCAAGCAAGCATGCGTCATCTTTCGCACGTGGTTTGCCACCCCCTACCATTAAATATTAGTTTTATTTTAATTTAATTCAATTTTTTTCTAGGGTAAATTGTACATTTAGTACTTACACTATCAGTTTTGATCCGTTTAGTACCTAAACTTTCAATTTTTTCAAAACTATATCTAACATTTAGTTTTTTGTTTTATTTTGGCACCTTCGTTAAAAACTTAACGTTACGTTTTAAAAATTGAAAGTTTAGGTACTAAAGCAGACCAAAACTGATAGTTTATGTACTAAACGAGTTAAGTTTTTAACGGTGAGGGTACTAAAATGAAACAAAAACTAAACGTTAAGTATGGTTTTGAAAAAAATGAAAGTTTAGGTATTGAAACATACTAAAACGAATAATTTATATACTAAACACGAAGTTTCCCCTTATTTCAAACATAGGTGCAGGGTTATTTCAAACATAGGTGCAGGGTTGCCGGCTAATGTAAACTCGTTTATATCATTAACTACTTTTAATCATTTAATTAATCACTTTTGTAATCATTTATATCATGTTACTGTCCATAAATCTGGTGTGGCAATTACATCACCATTCATCCATGATTATGCGTTTTCTATTTGTATTAAAAAAATACTTCTTATATGAACTTATCAAGCAACTTCACTAGTTAAAAGAAGTATTGATCTTCTTAAAAGTTGCGTATTTAAACATTTATATTTACAGGTGCGTTATTAATAACCAAAATAAACCATAAATGTAAACCCCCTAGCATTAATGTCCTTAAACTAAATACTGATGCAGCTGTGAACTTGGTTACGAGGGCGGCCACAAGTGGAGTGTTGCGTGATTAAAACGGAGTGTGGTTGACCGGCTTCCATAAGAACATTGGACAATGTTCGGTGCTGCATGCCGAACTCTGGGCTGTGCTAGGTGGTTTATCTTTTGCTTGGAAGCGAGAGGCTAGGCATGTGGACGTAAAGGTGGACAGTAGCGAGGTTGTGAAGCTTCTCAATTCTCCGGCCCAATGTCAGGAAGCTTCAATCATCCGTAGGATCCGCAAAATCCTCAGTCTCCAATGGAAGGTTAAGATATACTATGTAAACAGAGAAGCGAACAGTGTAGCAGATCCGGTGGCTCGGCTATGACGTACTAGCAATATGGTCTTATCTTGTTATCGCAGGCTCCAAGTGATGTGCAGCATCTCCTCACTAGGGACATGACCGCAGTTACAATCGTTTAATTCACTGTTCAGAAGTTTTCACTTGTTACCAAAAAAAAATATATAAACAAATATTACCTTATAATCCCCTCAAACTATTAAAAAATAATATTTACATTTATTTTTCTCCGAAATATAATAATGAATACTATTATCGGAAAACAATTCTTAAAAATTTAGGTCCTGCAATCCTTTCAAAATATTGTTAATGTCTACGTGTTAAAAACAAGTGCTTTAAGAATTTGTTGATAAAATAAAAAGTATTTTACAAACGAGTTCAAATATTATTATGTGTCTTAATCTTAAATTCTAAACTTTAATCTATAAATCTTAAATCTAAATTATATGCCTAAACTTCCAATATTTAAACCCTAAATAAGTAAGACATATATCAATATCATAATCCTGTTTGTAAAATATTTTTCTCACCGGTATGTATGAGAAAATATTTAATTAATAATTATGATTAATATGATTCAAAGACCTTCTTATGTATGAATAAGAATCAATATACTCAATGTCGTATTAATATTAGTTGCGTCAATTTCAAACCGATATCAAGTAGTTTTTAGTTTATTTCGATCAATATCAATATGTACATGTATGATTGAAGGGTGTTCGATTGCGTATCCTTTAGAATCTTTAAATTCTTTTATATTTTAGATTTTTTTGTATTTTTTATTAATAATCTAATTTCACATCCAAAAATTTTATAATTTCATACATCTTAAAATAAATTCATGATTCATATGTATTATGATGTACAAATCTTGTACAAATTGATTCAAAATTTTAATATTTTAAATAATTTTTATTTTTCACATGGTTACATTCAAAACTAAAATATAATAGTTGAATTAAGCTATTAAACATTTTTTTATTGAAAACCGCCGGATTTATTTATTAAAATTAAAAATAAATGAATCGTCTTTTGTAAAATGAAATCACTTTCCTAAAACTTTACCTAAAGCAAAACCTAAACTCTTAAACCGGCCGTTCTCCTTTTTTCCTTGAGATGTTTCAGTTGACCTTGTTTGTTGTATGAAGATGAGGAAACTTCCATAGATCCTTTACTCGTTACTGTCGATCTGTTCATTTATGGTGGGTCTAGCCAACTTCTGTCCTCAGCCGCCTGTCTTGCTGCACGTTCAGGGAGTTATTCTACCCAATAGCAATCAGCTTCTCCTTTGTCTGGGTCTGTTGCCACGAGATGAGCAACTTTGTTTCCTTCGCGAAGGGTGTGCTGAAATTCACAGTGATGAAACGCTTTGGCTCTGTATTGTGATTCCCATATCAGTGCGCTTATTTCAGAGTTGTCTGGGTTTGGGGATGATAGCTTCTTCATTACTATTCGAGAATCTCCTTCAACTATTATTCTCCTGAATCCCAATTTAGTCGCTAGTTGTAAAGCATGAACCACCGCTATAGCCTCGGCTGTGAAGGCCGAATTGATTCTGGAGGTAAACCGTCTGCATGCGCCCATTTCAAGACCCAAGTTATTCCTGATAACCACGCCTGACCAACTCCTTTTTTCTGCATTTTTGAAACAGGCATCAATATTTATCTTCACCATGTCCGGAGGAGGGGGCAACCATTTGGCTTCTATGGTATGCAACCTCGTATTCCTGGCATTTGCTCCGTATCAAGGTAACCGTCTCTTCACATCTTGTAATTTTTCCTTCATGTGTCCTTATGTTTCTAGCGAACTATAGTGTCCAGATGCAAACTAACACCTCTGTTTGTTTGGTTTTTGAGGTGTTATCGAATATCCAGCTTAGCCATTCCTTGAAGCTCCATTGGGTGCTTTGCGGTGGCCAAAGGTAATGTAGCCTCTGCCAAACTGCTCGAGCTAGCTGGCACTCTTTGAGAACGTGTATACTTGATTCTATCTTGTCTGGGCAGAGCGGGCAGTATGGGTTATTTGCGATATGCCTGTTGAATAATATCTGATTGGTTGGTACATAGTTTTTGATGTGTTTCCATGCATTTATCTTGATTTTCCTCTGACATTCGCATGACCATAGCTTCTTGAATATTATTTCTTTTGAATTCAGCTCTTCTTTATCCCCCACCAGCCTACGATAGCCACTTCTCACGGTGTAGTTTCCAATATGTTCCCCACACCATACTTGTACATCCTCGTGACTAAACGTTGATATTGGAATAGCTTTTATCTCCTCTGCATCTTCGTACATGAAAATTCTATCAATTAGGTGGTGTTTGGTTCGCTGGAATGTTTATGAGGGAATTAGAATCTATGAAGGAATTGGAATCTATCAGGAATTGGAATTCAATTCCATATTCTGTTTGGTTCGCAGACATGTCAGATGAATTTGATTTCAGTAATGTAAAATGACATGATTGTCCTTCTTGTTTTTTTTGCTTAATTTTAGTTTGTTTTATAAATTACATATAAATTACATGTAGTAATATATTATAAAAATTTAAAAAAATATTAAATTTTAATTTTATTGATTGATTATTCATTTCAATAAATTATAAAAATTATGTTAATAACATCATAAGTTAAAACCATCCTAATTAGGGATGGTCATGGGTCGGGTTGGGTCGGGTTTTTGGTTTACTCGACCCGAGAACAAGGGAACCTCCATCCGAGACCCGATCAGATCAAAATATAGTTTCACCCGACCTGACCCGAATATATAAATTAGAAACCCGACCTGACCCGAAATAATAAAAAAAATATTTTTATTCAATAAAACAGTGACTTAATTGAAAAATAAATTATATATAGAGAGGTATTATTGTAATTATTTCTAAATATATAAAATAAAATAATATATTTTTTGGGTCGGGTCGGGTATTTTTCACCCTAAATCCGAACCCGACCCGAATATAACACTTAAAAAAAATCAACTTGACCCGACCAAAATAAAATTTCACCTGACCCGACTCAAATATATGAATTAAAAATTCGACCCAAAATAATAATAAAAAATTATTCAATAAAAACAGTAACTTAATTGAAAAAAATTATATATAGAAAGGTATTATTGTAATTATTCCTAAATATATAAGGTAAAATTATATATATTTTTGGGTCGGGTCGAGTATTTTTCACCCTAAACTCGAACTCGACCCGACCTAAATATCACACTTAAAAAAACCGACCCGACCCGAATATATGAATTATAAATCCGACCCGACCCGAAATAATAATAAAAAATTATTCAATATATGAATAAATTACTAAAAGATTGATGAGAGTAGTATGGTCAAATTTCAATTTCCCTCGTTTGATGGAAATTTGAAGTCATGAGGGATTTCAATTCCCTTTGAAAACTTGAACCAAACATGAGAAAGTGGTGGAATTGGATTCCAATTCCCCCTAATTCGAAGGGATTCCTGCGAACCAAACGCCACCTTAGATTTTCTTTCCAATGATTTGTGGTTGGGTTGATTAGTTCAGATACTCTCTCTCTCGTCATTGCGGTGTGTTTCAACCCTACTAAGTCTGCTGCTTGGTAACCAATAGTTACTCCATATTGAAACATTGGAGCCGTTACCTACTTTCCATCTAATCCCCTTCTCTAATAGTCCTCGTGAGCTCCAGATGCGTTTCCAGATGTAGTATGGTTGGGATCCTAATCTTGCATTGATAATGTCCGTTGAATGGTAGTATTTCGCTCGTAGTACCCTGCTCACTAATGTAGTTGAATAATTTAGGATTCTCCGGCCCTGTTTAGTCAATAGGGATATATTAAATTTTGCTAAGTCTCTAAATCCCATCCCTCATTCTTCTTTCAGTTGACTGAGTTACTCTCAATTATACCAATGTATGCCTCTCTTTGTTTCCAATTTTTGCCACCAAAATCCGTCCATTATTTTTTCAAGCTCAATGAATAAAGATTTAGGTAATAGGAAGCAGTTCATTGCAAAATAACGGTTGAGCTTGTAGCACAGACTTGATAAAAACTTCCTTGCCTCCTTGCAATAGTGTCCGAATGCTCCAGATTTTTTTTCGGGTAAAGAAGTTTTCTTTCATTGTCACAAACGCATGTCTTTTGTTTCTTCCGATTATGGCTGGTAATCCCAAGTATTTTTTTCGGATTTGTTGTGTGCGCAACTTCCATTATGCGTCTCACATCACTTCTATTTGAATCACAAACGTTGGAACTAAAGAAAATCCTTGATTTATCAAAGTTAATTACCTGTCCCGAGCTTCTACCGTAAATGTGCAGTTTTTCCTTCAATTCTCTTGCTACTCTCGTTGTTGCTTCCCCTAAAATTAAACAATCGTCTGCAAACATCAGATGAGTGATAGTTGGGGCATATCTATTTATTTTAACTCCTCTTAGTGTACCTCGTTCTTCCGCCTGTCGTAGGAGAGCTGAAAGGCCTTCGTTACACATTAGAAAAAGATATGGACTTAGTGGGTCGCCTTGTCTCAATCCACTTTGGGGAATAAACTGTTCACCCACTTTACCATTTATCACCACAGCATAAGATACTGTAGAAACACATCGTGAGACTAAATCAATCCAGTGTTTTGAAAAACCTAGCTTCTCCATCATTCTACACAAATAGCCATTTGACCCTATCATCTGCTTTGCTCATGTCCACTTTTAGGGTAAACTAACCCTTCGCCCCTTCTCTTTTTTTCATGAACGAGTGTAGTAGTTCGTAGGTTGTGATGATGTTATCTGTAATTAACCTGCCTGGAACAAATGCGCTCTGGGCCTCATCAATGCAGAGGTGCAGGTGATCTTGCATTTGACTTACCACCATCTTCGAGGCTATCTTGTAAATAACATTACATAGACTGATTGGCCGAAATTGAGTCATACGGCTAGGATGTTTTGTTTTGGGAATCAATACAATGTGTGTTCGGTTTACTGCTGCCATATACTCGGTACCATTGAGTAAGCCTATGCAAAATTCAGCCACTTCCGGTCCCACAATGTGCCAGAATCTCTGCTAAAATACTGCTCCCTACCCGTCTTCACTGGAGACTTTAATTGGGCTTATTAACTTTACTGCTTCAGTTACTTCTGCAGTCGTGAAAGGTGCTTGTAGCATTTCATTAATTTCCTCTAATATACTCTTGCTTTGTTTCTCCCGAATAGATCTCTTCATCAATTTCGGTTAATTTAGATTTAATAATTCCTCAAAAATAGCTTTTTGCAATGTTCTGAATGGATACCTCATCTTCTCGTTTTTCGCCTGCTTCATCCTCTAATGCATTGATTCGGTTCTGTTTATTCCGCTGCGGTGCAAACTGATGAAAAAAAATAGTATTGTTTTCATTTTTTAACTAGTTCGCCCTTGCTCGTTGCTCCCAATACACTTCAGATTTGTCCCTGCCTCCAATGTTTATCTGAAGTTTTACATCTGTTATTTCTCCCAAATTGTCCTCCGTGGACTCTAACTCCATTAAATCTTCAAGTCTCTTTTTCAGTTCTCTCTGTTATTCCTTTTTCCTTCTGTATTGCCTTGAACCACACATCTAATCCTTCTTGTATTCGGTTTAATTTTTCCAGAACTGTTCCTTGGCTTGATGTTCATATGCGTTCGACTTCTACAGCACATGATTCCTCCATATGCTATGCTGCTTCAAAATTGAATTGCCAACGTCGTTCTTCTCTTTTTTTCACCCACTGTATCCATAAGTAATGGACAATGATCTGAGAAAGCATGCATTAAATGTGAGAGTTTATGTTGGGGGGGAGGGGAAGATGGACCACCATACTGTGTTTGCTACTCCTCTGTCTAGCCTCTCCCTTATGTTATTTTCTATCCTTCGACCATATTCCCATGTGTGCCATGGTCCATGATAGCCTATATCATTCAATTCACAATCTTCAAGAGTTTTTCGAAATTCCTCCATCTGTCGCTCATTGCGTTCTAGGCCTCCTTGTTTCTCAAAGGAATATAGAATCTCGTTAAAGTCCCCTATGACCAGCCAGGGTAGACTTTGATCCTCGTTTAGTTGCCTCAATAGATCCAATGAATATCTCCTGCTTTCCTCTGGTGCTCTGTAAAAACATGTACATCGCCAATTTATTTTCTCATCCAAGTCTGTGATTAACTCATCAATGTGTGCCATTGAGTATGATCGAAGGGTAATGTCATATGATCCCCTCCATGCTAAACATAGACCTCTGCTGCTCCCTTATGAATCGACTTTTACTCCGTTTGGAAATCCCAGTGATCTTTGAACTTTTTCCATTCTTTTACTCTGCAATTTTGTTTCAAAAAAGAAAATTACAGAGGGGTTTATGTCTCGCAGCATGTTCCGAAGACGGTTAACCGTTAGAGGTCTTCCCCAACCCCGGACGTTCCAGCTTAGGAGTTTCATTGCTTCCGGCTGGCCTGGGTCTTCAGGCCTACCGATATCAAATTCTTTTCATTCTTGGAATCTTGTTTTTATAAAAAAAAATCTTGGAATCTTGTTGGCTCGAACTCGAAACTGTTGAATGTGAATGTCTTTGTCTTTTAAGCCCCTCCTCTTTTTCTATGGGTAGGTCTTCTTTTGTTCCCAGCATCTCTATATCAAAATCGTGATTTGCCGAATGGTAATCCTTTTCTGTTGTGCTTAATTGTCTGATAATTGGGTTCACCCATTCTGATGTACCAATTTTGTGTTGTGTCACCAGCTTGCCTTAGAGATTTATTTGAGGGCTTTTCTTGTCTATAGGGTATTTTTCTTGTCCATCTCCTCTCTTTCCTTGTTGATCCTGTTCTGCTCGTGTTTGTTGGAGTTCCTTCTTCTCTCAGACACGGATTCACTTGGAATGATCTTTGTCTCGGAGGTGCTTTAAGGGATGCATCCCATAAAGGTATGATCTCTCCTTGTTTTGAAGTTAATCTGGTCGGACAGAAGCCTTCACCATGCCCTAATTTTTCGCAGAGATAGTAGAATAATCTCAGTTTTTCGTATTGGAATGAGGCATAACCAAATTTGCTGTTTCGGAGAGCTAGTTTTTTCCTGCGTTTTAGTGGGTATCGCACGTCTAGTATCACTCTTGTTCGTATACTTCCTCTATATCCTAGGGAGACTACTGTATCATCATAGGTTAGAAATTTGCCAATAAAGTTTCCCATCTGCTGTGCGGCCTGTTTTGATATGAATCCCATAGGTATATCGTTGATTAGTACCCAGAGTACTGTGTTTAGTGGTACTGTCATTGGATCTTCTCCTTATTCTAACTTGTGGTAAATCAGGATATGTGAAATAAAATACCATGGACCATCATTGTCGATTCTGTCAATATCCACAGCTTTGTATAGCCGAAAGAGATGGCGTCCCTCGCCTAATTCCGTGATAGATATACCCCCTATTGGTCTCCAGACATTCGCCAGCATCGTTTTTATTGCTGGAAAATTCACCAAACTAGTAGTTAGAAACTTTCCTACCAGACAATTTTCGAAGGATATTCCTCCCTCCGTAGCCTGTTCTATCTCGATAGCTTCCTCTTCCTCTTCTCCGATTTCCAACTTCTCCAATATACGCTCCAGGTCTGCCATTGGTCTTGTGATCTGTATCTATTTGTTGCTGTGTAGAAACTTCTTGTGGAGATTATTCTAACGTGTTTTCTTCGATGAAGGGCAAAAACCCTAAGACGACTCATGAAATCGAGAGAAAATCAGGCAAAACCCTATCAGTTATTAAACATAATTAATAATATTGATGTTTATATTTTAATATAAACATATTTAATGTATGAAGTTGAGATATATTTGTGTTATATACGGTATATATAAAAGTATTTTTAAAAAATAACTATACATCAAAACAGATCAATATTAATATATATATACAAAGAAACTCGATACATTCATCAGTATAATATATTAATTATTTTAATTAGAACCCTAACAATATAATTTGATGTGACAAATCCAGTTTGGATGAGAAAATTACAAGATAAATACAAAACCAAGTAATTAAATTAAAGGCGTTTAGTACTCTTATCACTTTTTGTTATATTTTGGTCATCCAATTATTTTTTTTTTTAAATTATACTTAACATTTAGTTATGATTTCATTTTGGTCATCCACAATTAAAAAATTAACTGAATTGCTAACATGATATTTTTTTTTAATAATGATCTGACATTATCTTATGATGATGCGTTAACATTACCGTTGAATTTTTAACGGTAGGTGACCAAAATGAAACCAAAACTAAAAGTTAGGCATGATTTAAAAAATAGTTGGATAACTAAAACAAAACAAAATTTATAGTTGAAGTACTAAATGTATAGTTTATCCTAAATTAAAATATGGTAAACTACACATTTAGTACGTAAACTATTACTTTTGTTTTATTTTGGTACCTAAATTTTATTTTATTTTTTCAAAATCATACTTAACGTTTAGTTTATGTTTAAATTTGATACCCCACTAATAAGAAATTAATAAAATTATTGACGTGACATTTTTATATTTTTCAATGATGACATCAAAATCACCATTAAGTTTATCACAACGGGTAGGAGTGAGCAAAACTCGACTTGACTTGAAAAATCGATTTTTTTCAATTTCGAGTTATTGGAGTTGAGTTATTTGAGTCAATTTGGAAATTTTGAGTTACTCAAAAAAATTAAAATTTTGACTAACTATTTTTTATAGTTTTACGATTTAGTCCCTGATTTTCTTTTTCCTTTAATTCTTCCTTCATTTTAAGTCTATTTTTAACCAAATTTGAACCACATGCTCCTAAATCATCGCAAGATACCCATGTGCTTTCAATTTATCTTTTTGATAACTTTTTTTATTTTTTAATTTAGTCCCTCAACTTTTTCATAATTTCCTTATTTCTTTGATTCATCCTTTATTTTAAGTCCATTTTTTATCAAATTTGAACTACATGCTCCTATACCACTATAGAGTACCTTTGTAAATTCAATTCCTATTTTTTTTTACTAAAAATATACTCTCTTTTTTATTTAGTCCATTAACTTTGCATTTTACTCAATTTAGTCTTTTGACTGCAATTAGTTGCAATTTTTTTTCTTTCCATCAATTCATTGACTCTTTTTATACTCTTATCAATATTTTACCCTCAAAATATCTTCTTTAAAATATAACATTGTAAATATATTTTATAATTTTAGACTATATTTGATATATTAATTAACATTATAATCTGAAAAGAATATGAATATATATATATATATATACTTAAATGGTTAGAGAAAATCGAAAAATTGGAATCAATCCTTACCATAATACTATTTATAATTATAATAAAATTTGTATAGAATCATGAACAACTCGACCCGAATTTCTTAAACTTAACTCGACTTGAAAAAAAATTCAAGTTAAGTTCGAGTTACAAAATAAGACTCATCAACTCGAATAACTCAAAAAAAAATTACTCAACTCGATCTAATGCTCATCCCTAATGGAGGGTATCAAATTGAAACCTAAATTAAACGTTAGCATGAATTTGAACATGAATGGTACCAAAATTAGCCCCCCAACGTTTTTCAAAATGATTATTTTCCCCCTATTATATTTTTTGGAGCATTCTGGCCCCCAAAAGTTTCATTTTAGGGGGGAAAAGGCCTTTGACATTTGATAGAATAATCAATTTGTCCCTTGATTTTTTCTGAGTTATTTTAACCCACAATGTTTCATTTTAGGTTAAAAGGCTCCTATTTTAGAGCGTTAATCATGTGTTAACTAATGATTTTCATCTATAGAGGTCCTTTTTGCCTTATTTTCTGCATTATGCATTTAAAAAATAAAACTTAGGTACTAAAACGGAACAAAAGTGATAGTTTACATATTAAATGTGTAGATTGCCCATTAAATTATACATACAAGTATTATTTGAGCCCAAAATGGATAAAGAAAAATGAAGGTATGCATTAAGCCCAAAAGGCCTAAACCAGCAATAAAAACAATACAAAGATTTTTGGACCAGAAACATGTCCCAAGTGGACAGCAACTATAAAATGGAGAAAAACGACAGCAAGCAAGAAGCACAATCCTTTTTCTTTTCGAGCAACAATTAATTTCAAGTCCAAAAATCCCTCCTTTGCCTTGCCTTAATCCATCTCTTCCTATCCCCAAATCAAATCTCTTTCCAAAACTATACCTAAAAAGCTTTCCCACTTTATCTCTACTTCAACTCTTCTCATTTCCATTGGATCAATTGCGTCGTCACCAGCTTCTTCTCTCGTTAGGTTTTTTTTTCTTTTCTTTCGGGGGTGCTGTTTCCCTTCAACGAGCGGGGATCTTTTGCTGTCTCGTTATTTTTTAATTTTTTTTCTCGGTATGGACTATGAAGTTTGCGATAGTAGTGGTATGTTGCATTCATTAATGTCGTATTATTGTATTGAACAATGCCTGGTGTTTCTGGGTTTCTTTTTCTTCACCCCCTTTTCTTTCTTTCATTTTTTTATTCGAATTGGAAATTGGGTAATGGGTGCATTTTATTTTTGGGGTTGGGGTAAAATGAGCGAGGAGGGTTTAGGGTTTCATTGGGGTCATTGGCTTTTAGTTCAATTTTATCAGGGAAATGATTTCTTGCGTTTTCCCTTTCTGGGCTTTGTTTGTTTTCATCTTTTAGGTTTTATTTCCAAGCGTTTCTTTGAATTCTAATCGGGATTCAGAGAGAGAGAGATCCATGATATTAAAACATCAAATTTTTCTCTGTTTGAAAGAAAAAAATGATTTTCTTTCTTTTTTCAATTATTTTTCCATAACACGCTAGATATTTAGTTGGTTGATACCTAATAGTTGAGAATGAACTTCTGTATGTTGTTGTTAGAATAATGCAAGCGGCAACTAAGTTTTAGAAAACATGTTATTTTATTAGAACTTTTGCAATAAATTTATTTCTTAGTTTGTATCCTGTTCTATGTCTGTTTTACTGTCCATGTTCTGGGTTCTGGTTCGTGGCTGCCCCTACCAATTGATTGTCTTCCATGATTGTTTAAATTTTCCACTAGGTTTTGCACCGTGAGCTTTGAGTCAGGTTTTCTTCCCTACCAGCTATAGTATCGACAATTATATTCACATTGCCTTCTAATTTGACCATATTGTTTATAGTCCTCTTAGCTCTCTACTCCTTGGCATGCAAACCTATTAAACGTTGGTAGTTTCTATGCGTATATTGATTTTCTTTTACGGTAGTATACAAGAAGAGTCATTATTAGATCCAATAAATTTCCAACTCTTTTATCTG